TTTCCCAAAAGACTAAAGCCCAGCGAGATTTTCCCTGCAATTTTCCGCCCAATTTCCATGGTACCACCGCCCGCAAAATTTCCAACACACGTGGAGAGGCCGCTAGCCGCCTACATTTTAGTGTGAAGCCGATGGCAGCTCCTCTGCTCCTGCTCCCATTTTTGCTCCCCTACGTCCTCCTTGGTCCTCCTTGGTCCCCGGCCGCATCCTTCCCTATTCTCCAGCATCCTGACCTGCGCTATTCTGGCCTGACTCGGTCGGATCTGGTTTGGTCGGTTTGCGCTTGAGTCCAAGTTGGAGTTTGAGGCTGGTTTTGGCTGGCACAGACAAAAAATAATTAGGAAACAGTTTATAATTATGTTTTTTAAGGCAAAATTAGCATTTTGAATTAGACAAAAAAAACTATACATATCATACTTATATGAAAACAATTCGCAATATTATTTAATTTATTATTTAAAGCACATTCATTACTATGTATTATATATATTTAATCGATATAACATATAATTGCATATATGATTTAATCTTTGGCAAAGTGGTAAAGCTTTCAGACCCTCTATGTTAAACTATAATTATAATTTTTTCCTTAAACTGACAATGTTAATGGTTTTTCTCTCCCAATTTGCATTTTACCCCTGAACTTGCTCTATTAGAAAAGATTCAAATAATGTTTTTTTCAGTGCAGGGTTAGGGTTCGAGTCGAGGTTCGGATCTGAAACTGGAACTGGAACTGATGTGGTGTGGCCTAAGCTGGCAGTCAAGTGGATGCATGTGGACTCCATCCAATCCTCCGAATCACCCGCTCCATGTGGCTGCCATCGTTGTTGTTGCTCCCGATGCATGCCTCACTGGGCTCCAGCCCTATCCCTAACCCCATTCCCATTCCCATTCCCGTCCTCATCCTCGAAACTCGTGCTCCATCCATCCTCTTATTCAGCTGCAACCGCCGGCTGTCTTTTATTTTAAGCAGCCAACGCGGAAAAATACCTAAAAAAAAATGAGATAGAGAGGGAAATGGCTTGAACTCAAACACACAAAACCTGGCCAAAGTGAAAACCTGTACGATGAAAAGCTCAACTGGGAAAATCTCCGCTTGTGTGTAGACGTCATCGCCCGAAAAAGTCCGGGCAAATCCATCTTTTTTTTTTCCTATGCAATTTGAATAATTTAATGGATTTTTATGAGCAGTAAACTGCGAGCAGGATGGATGCACTCACTCGGTCCCGAATTCTCCGACAGCCACGGCTTGAGACATTTGGCCCGATTGCAGCCAATTCCGGGGAATGCCTGGCGAAAAATGTCCTACCAGTGACGGAAAAATCGCCGTAAACTCGTGTCGAAAGGAATGAGGATGAGTTTGGGGACTGCATCGGCACTTGGGGAAAAACTCACTTAACTTCTTGTCAAGTAAACTAAGTTGGTTTAAAGAAAACATGAAACAAACTGAAATTGTATATATAATTTTGTTTCAAATAACATACAAAATGCTAAAACTTTCTGTTTGGTTTTCGTTAATACAATTATTAACATTATTATTGTTTTTCTTTAAAATTTGTATTTAATTTAATACAGAATTATTTGTTTTATATTTTTTTTTGATAAATTTATTTCTTTATCGTTTAAAATCAGACAATTCTTTACAGAGCCAAGCATATTTTATTAATGTGTTTTTAAAAATACATCTCAATTGTTATGACTAAAACAACAACAAAAAAATCAATTTTAATGTTTTAAAAACATAAGATGATAGTAAGCTTTATTTTAATTTTAAGTTCTATATTCCTACAATCTTTTATTTTTATTTCTTGGTTATAAAAATCTAGATAATTTTTGCTTGCCAAGTTATCTTTTTGCACAGTGATGTAGTTGGTTCCTGTTTCGAATGCTCCGCTGCGTTTCGTTTCAGCTCGGGGGATCGGGTTCTGTGGGCTTATTCAATTTCGCAATCGCCGGCTCTGGAGCCCACTCCTTCCCCCTGAAAGGGGTGGGGTGGGGGGTCCAGATCCCCATGCCTCCGGCCATGTCCTGGCCTGTCTTCCCAATTGACTGCCGCGCCACTTCCGTTTCGTTGACGATGGCGATGCGATGGCCATGGCGATGGGAACACCAAAGGCATCCAAGCGTTCGCCTGCTGAATGCACAGCAGCAGCACCAGCAACTACGCCAGCAGCAACACCTATAGCAGCAACAGCAACAGCAACAACAACAACAACATCAGCAACACCAACAGCAGCAACAACACTGTTGTCGCCGTCGACGTTGTGCACCAAATGCAATAAATTTTCAAGTCATTTCAACTTCCGGTGTGTGGCCCCGATTACAGTTTAGTAGCTGTAAATATAAAGCGATATATACACACCCCTACACAGTAAATAAAAAATCGAATTCAACTTTTGGCATTGTTGTTCAAAAAAACTTTTATACAAAAAAAAAATAATGAACAAAGTTCATTTAATATTTACAGCATGATTTTGCTTATTAACCATAACCATTTTATTGAATGAAGTGAACATAATATTATATTATACATATGTTTAACGTTCGTATAAAAAAAAACGGTGCTTAAAAATAATAATAATTAAAGAAAACTAAGCAATTGATATTAAACTTATAAACTTATTACTACCGACTATTACTCATAAAATCAACAGTAACAAATTGAGATCCAAACTTGGGATAAAGTAACTAAATAACTAAATACAAATACATATTTTATTTGATTAATTATCAGCCAAGCTTTATTTAATATTGCATTAATATTTTAAACATAAATACTTATTTATAATGCAAATTTTAAGTCTAAATATAAGTTATATTATATTGTATTTTATTTTAACTATGCTCGAAGGCTCATTGAACCCATTATCCGTTGGCTCTGATTTTTCTCAGTGCACAGATGCTAGACGGATCTGCCCACGCCCCTCATCAGTTTTCAGTTGCCGCTGGCAACTTTTGTAGCCGTCTGGCACTTTAAAGCTAGACTCCAGATTTGTTTTCATTTTAATGTCTGCTTTTTAATTTTCTTCCCTCGCGTTTTCTTCTTTTTTTTTATATCATTACCGCTGCGAAAAAGCCTAAAGTAATTACTGTTCAATTTTCCGAGGGGTTGGAAAAGCAAGTGCGGTGGGTTGGAAAAGCTAATGGGGGGGAGTTGAGAATTATGAGAGACAACCGCCAGCTGACATTTGCGAAGTTTTCCTCGCTATTTGCCTTGTCATTGTCATGGGCTGTTGTTCGTATTGTTGTTTACCCATTATTACAAATGTGTGTATATGGGGTGTGGGCGGCCATTGTTGTGCCACACACATACACACACATCACCCCTCTCCCTTTCGCCGCTGTGTCTGTCTCTGTCTATGTCTCATCCTGTAACTGTCACACTGCTGGCACTTCATCATCATCAACAACAGCAGCAGTCAACGCTTCTCTTGCCAGCTTTCTCCCGCTTTCTCCCGCTTTCTCCCCGCCTTTCTTAGGACTTTCCCTTCACTGCTGGTGATTAGCGAGAAAGGCGGAGAAAGGGGGTGGCCAAGGAAACCCCACGATAACGTCACTGGGGGCGATGGAAAATGATTGCCACTTGAGGTGTAAACGAGCGCATTTTACAGCGTCTTTCAGATGTTCAAAAAAAAAAAAAAAAAAAAAAAAACAGTAAGGCAAAGATGTATAAAAATAAAAAAGGAAAAAATATATGCAAAAAGGGAAGCTTTCGCAGAAAAGCGGAAAAAGTCTAGCTGAAATCACTGCCATTCCCCCCTCAGCTCTCGTTATCAATATATGCATAAAGCTTAAGCTGCAAATCGACTGACATTAAGCATTATATTCTCTGATATCATGTGTGGCATAAGTGCTTTAAGCGAATTGTTAACAAATATGTTCTGAGGATTTGCAACATATGCTATTTCTCATTTCCCATTTACAATCTTGAGCTAGGATTCTTTTCGAATAATTTTGCGGAGCAAATACGGATTTTCTTATTATAAAATGTAATTGTATTGGCTGTTTTACATATACATTTTCTGATATATTCTAAAAGAATTTGTTTTTGAATGAAATTAATGTTTCATATTATTTCTATATAAAAAAATGTTATATTGTAAAAATGATTTGAAAAATTTATTTTAAGATAAATTGTCAAATACATTGCAAAATTTAGCCACACTTTATTAAAATAGGGGCAAAAATGAAAAGTCCCGCCCCTCATTATAATGCGAAAATAATGTCATTTAAATAGGTCAATCCAAAAATCGGACGAAATTTACAAGTTTCTTACACGTAAACAACACACATTATACATGCGTTTGTATATATATGTTTGTATGTGGTTGCATTTCGTATAACTTCGTTTTTGATGCTATTCATCCATCTACATGGATATAGCTTTGTGGGGTTCGTGGATGGGCGGGATATCCTGAAAAGTGTTAATCATGCCCAAATATTCAAAACCGCATTTGTCTACCCCGAAATGGTTGGCGACTCCGCTAAAATGTCTCCAGAAGTGGAGACATGGCTGATGCGTTGGAAAAACACCGTTTTTTTTATTTTTTGTGCGCCTTTTCATTTGTTTGAAGATCTATGACTATAATAGACTTATTTATAACATTTTTGCTTAACTATTAGTCACAGACGGTAAAAAATTACTCACACCATTTTAACTTTAACATATACAGGCAGGAAATATATGTTTTAAATATAAATTTAAAACAATAAGATATATATTGCGAGCTTTTTTCAAAATATTTCAATAAGATAATATTTATGCTTACATAATTAGCCATATATCCAAAACTTCCTTATTAAGCCAATAAATAAGTTATATTCCGAATACTAGATATACATTATTTTAAGTAGCTCGCATTTATATATTTAATATTGGGAGTATTCATTGAAGGGTTGAGTCAAAGCTATATTTACCAAAGTTCCGAACCAAGTCCCTGTTGGGTACCGCCATGATTATCGATTATTCGAGCCTATCGATATATTTCACAATCAAAACAAATGCCAAGACAAAACAAAAATACAAAATTGGTGTTTACCAAGCCGAATTCAAATAGATTTCTTGTTAAATAAGTTAAGTAATTGTTGATCATGTCTCTCTTTCCCGCCTATGGCGTTGGCCAGCCCTCAGCTGTTGTGGGAGCGAAAGAAACGAACAATCCAGCGAAAGAGGCGGGAACAACGAGCGCGGATTGGAAAAATAACGAGAGTTACATTCAAAAAGATATAGATGTGAACTACATAGCGAAGCAGGCACCGATATCGGACAGCTCTACAGACAGCGAGGAGGACTCCACCGAAGAAGCACCCGAAATCCTGGCCAAAACAAAGGACTCGGTGAAGGCAAAACCACTGGAATTCGATGCCAACGATGAGTTTTATGTGGACAAAAAGAGCAACTCGAACTATAGAACCCTTAGCACCCTGACAAAACCCACGCGACCACGTTACAAGACCCGGATGACCCGGCTCCGGGATCAGGACCACACTCATCGCGATCGCTACAAGTTTTCCGCGAAGAGCAGTCGTTACACCCGAAGCAATCACCAGCCCTGCGATTCAAATCCCACCGTGGAGGAAGTCGCCCGCCTCCAGGAGCAGCTCATCCAGAGCAAGGTGCTCGTCCAGCGGGAGCCGCAGACGGTGGAGCACTGGCTGCAGCTGCACCGCCTGCTGGGCCTCAATCTGGACAAGGCCAATCGGCTGGCGGTGGCGGAGCACCAGCTGCACACCCTGGAAACCGCCCTGGAGCACCATCCGTCCAATGAGCAGATCCTGCGGCTCTACACGGACGTGGCCAACGCCACCTATCAAGCCAGTGAGGTAATCCATGGCTCTAGATCATTGCTTTTTATTAGCATTTATTTGCTTGCTTTTATTCCAACTTTATGGGTTAGAATTCTTTCATACCCAAGAATTGGTTAAGTAATAAACCATATGTAGTCTGTAAAAGCTGCACTATCATTGTACTATCTTTTAGGGATAATAGTTTCACTTAATAACTATATGTATATACTATACTATAGTATATTACTAGATAGTCTTTACCCATATAATTTAAAAGAAAAAGTTTCCAAGTTTCCAACTTGCTGCCAAGTTTATCATTGCCATTATCAACCCAAACTTTCTTTACCACCAAAAAGTCTGCTTTATATTTGATTCTGAGCGTTTTTAAAAAATATATAAACTTGTTTTAAATTTGAAGTAAAGAAAGCGAACTCTGCAAGCCAAAGTTGATATACTCTTGTGGATATAAACAAACTTTTGTATTAAATATTGTGTTTTAAAAACAATTCAATTTGCTCAGATTTTGCTCTTTTTTTTATAGATTAATCTACAATTTAACCTACAATAAATTTATTTTTTATATATGATATAGTTGGGCGATTATAATAAAACCGAAATCGTATTACTCAAATCGCATAAAACGACCTTAATTTAGTATAATTTAACACAAAGTCAATGACAAATTCCTTTAATCAATCTCAGTAACATAAAAAAGTAATATATGATATATATTTATTCTTAGGTCGCTGCCCGCTTCACAAAGATGCTGGAGAGGAATCCCTTCGAATACACATTGTGGACGGCATTGATTATGGTGACCCAAGGCAACATGGCGCGCTGCAATGTGCCCGCTGTGCTGCGGATTTACGCTTACTGCATGCGCAGGATGCACGTGGGCCACACCGACGAGCACAGCCGGGAATTGGCCACCGTGGACACGGATCGGATAATGCTGAAGCTCTTCCACAACTGCGTGCTGTTCCTGCGCCAAACGGGCAACGCAAACAAGATGTTTGCCCTCCTTCGCTTGTCGCTGGAGTTGAATTTCCCGGGATTGACGGTGGATTGCTTTGAGGCGTGCGCGGCGAATGAACGGCATTTGATCGAATACGAGGAGATGGTGCTGCGCTCCGGCATGCCGATGCTCGAGATCTGGACGCGAGTGGAGCGCCTGCGTCAGGCCTATTGCTACCTGCCCTATCCACAGTCGGCGCACTCGACGACGGATGCACTGGCTGGTGGACTGGACACAGAGCGCTGCATCTTCAGCGACGACGTGGTGCCGTATGCACATGCCTTGAAATCACCAGAGAACCGTTTGCACTTGCTGCTCCTGGTGGTTCAACTGACCAAAATGCCGTTCGTTCGGAGCGCTTGCCTGGCGGCCAAGTTGCATCCACGCAACGATGAGTTCGGCGAGTCCGAGGCCATTGAGATGCTCTTCGCTGCGCTGGCGGACAGGCACTCCTATGCCGTGGCCCCAACCCAAATGGCTGGCTTCGAACTGGCCCTGTTGGACTTGGCCAAGGAGATTTGCGTGCCGCCCAGCTTTATGCCGCACTTTGTGGGTCACGAACTGTATGCGGATACCATAAGCGGCCTGCTGCTCAAGTGCAGCGAAGCCTTCAGGATGGAGGAGCGCAAGCGAATGGTGTTTCTGCTCCTGTGGCTGCGATTCCAGCGACTCCTCGTCGTGCTGCACAAGCTCATGGGCAAGCTGACTAAGACCCATATGAAGGAGACACGCCTGCGGATTCGCAATCAGTTGTCGTTGCCTGCGAATCGTGACATTTCACGTTTCTACACGGAACTGGCCATGTGCGAGTTCGAGGGTCTCGAACGGAGCGATAACGAAGACCGTGTGTTCAACTTGTTCAAGAAGATCTTCGCCACGGGATCGCAGATGGGCTGCGATTTAACCTGCCCGGACTTGATGCATGCCTACTTGGCTTGTGCCGAGATGCTGATCCGATGCGGTCGCTCGGATGAGGCACTCCACTTGCTCAGCTGTGTGTGTTTGGGGCGACATGCCGATACGCTGACCCCTGAAGCGGCGGCCTCGGGGATTGAAGAGAGTTTACAGAGTGGATTGGAGCTTTTGAAGGAGGAAGTGACGGCCCTGGACTCGCTGCCCGATGAGATGCCCCTGGAAGAGTACTTCCTGGCCAACAAACTGCTCATCCTGTTGCGCGCTCGCTGTTTGCTCAATCGCTCGGTCGTGGACAAGACATGCGATGGGCTGCTGCAGCACCAACTCAGTGCCGAGGCAGCCAAGAACAGCGAAAGGCGACGCTTTCTCAGGGAGCAGGTCATGGAAATACAGATCCTGCGGCTGCAGTTGCCTCACTCACCACCTGCTGAGGTGCAGAGACATCGGGATGAGAAGGAGAACGGCCGCTACCTAAGGCCAAAGACTGTGCAACTGGTGGAGCTGATTGTGCGTGGACTGGGCGAGTTTCCGCGCAATCTCACGATGCTCCAGTGTTGGGCCGGCTTCAAGACGATGCTGTGGCACCGACAGCGCGCCCTTTTCATCCGCACCCAGGCGCGCATCATCGCACTGGTGCACTTGGTCATCGCCGCCCGGTGGCGCTTTGCCAAGGCCAACGACGAACAGATGCCTCTGGCGGACCATGTGCAGTCGGCGATGCGCAATCGTTTGCTCAGCATGTTCGAAACGTTCCTGCCAACGAACAGGAATCGCTCGGCCGTCGAGGAGGAGCAGTATCGCCTGCTGCGCAGGAACTCGCTCTATTGGCGGCTCTACCTGAAGTGCCTGTCCGACACCAGAACCAGCTTCGAGCGCAGCAAGGAGTGCCTGCTGACCGCCATGGACGAATGTCCCTGGGACAAGGCTCTGCTGATGGACGGCGCCCAGTATGTGCCGCAGGATCTGCCCTATCTGCAGGACGTGATGACCGAGAAGGAGCTGCGCATTTACGCTCTGCCCGAAGAGCTCGACATCCTGCGCGAATCGTAGCTGTCCGTGGAGTTTGTTTTTGGGTTTAGCTAATGTTTGTTACTCTTTATATGAATATATATATACATATTTGACCCCAGAAATTACTAATTTATATTTTCGTGTAATAACATTTCTTATTCTTAACTAAACCTTATCAAAATTGGCCTACTGACATGCCTGTGTTCTGCGATAAAGTGGTCTACATCGAAAATTTGCAATCGTTTAAACAATTGATTCCGCGGGGGAATCACTTCAAGAGTCGCATATCGAATGGCAGGGATTAGTTGGACTCGCCTCCACCTGCCACTCGGTACTTGCCACTTGCCACTTGCCACTCAGCTCCTGCGCTTATTGCGTTTATTGTTTTGATTGTGTTATCACAAGATAACCGAAGAAACCTCATAAACCAAAGCAGCGCCGAGTGCAGCGTTACACAGCTGGGGCGGCGATTCTAGCATCTGGAGTCCATAGGTTGTAATACCAAAAAAATGTTCACAGTAAAATTTCAAATATTCGTTCCTTAATGTTGGTACCAATATAATTTTAATTTGAACTTGATTGTTTATATTTACATCAACTTGTACTTACAAAAATAATGTGATAAATGTTTTTTTTCTTTAAACATTAATATATGTAATACAAATTTAATTATTTATAAAACCATACTTTGTCCTTACTTCAATAAAAAAGTTTTCTTAGTTTTAGAACGATGTTAGTTTGAATATTAAAAAAATGTAGCTTTTACAAACAATTTTGTGACTTTTTAATAAAAAATTTTAATATTTAAATAAAGAATCTTTTTCATTAATTTAAAAAGCGCTTTATGGTAATAATATACAGAGATGATCAAAAGTAATTACAGAAATCAAATAATATATGCATATAAATTGTGAAAAAACTTTATGACCACCTCTGTATATCAGAAATATAATATTCTTTAAAGAAAAATAAATTATCTGTCTCCTTAAAAAAGAAAGTAAAATGAATTAATAGCGAGATCTACTTTTGTGACTGCAACTGTTGCGGTGCGAGCGAGATGACTGACGCGCTGCGTCGCTCGCCTCGAATGTTGCGTATGCGCCCTGTCCGCCCAGCCACTTTCGACTCCTGTGCGTTACTGTTGCTCTTCGGGAATTCGTGAATTCGGGGCAATGGGAGGGAGGGCGGCGGTGGGGGTGGATTGAAAAGCTCCGATCTGAAAGCTGTCTGAGCGTCCTGGCTGCTGGCTGGCTGGCTGGCTGTCCGACCGTCACTTCATCCTACGTCTTGGGCACTTTGGGGCGCTTCGGACCGGGCCACATCGCTGGCAGTCGGTCGGCATCTGTCCAAGTCCCACGACGCGTCGTCGCTTCGCGCTCGGAAGCGTTGTGGAAGGTTGCCCATTTGGAAGCGGCCCATTTGGCCAAGTGGCGCCTCCGTAGTCCCTAGTCTTATGCCGGAGTGTCCTCCCAAAGGTTTCCCAGGCGGTTCAGCCCCGTTTTCACTTCCTAGGTTAGTGTCGAGCCCGGATCCCCACGATTGTCCGCTCCCCCCTCCCAAAGTTTAATGCGAGTGTTGTTTTTTTTTGAGAGTGCCCCTCTGTGTGTGTGTGTGTGAGTGCTTGTGCGGTGGTGTTTACAGTGGTGTAGTGGTGTAGAGAAGCAGCGACGGCGGCAGCATTGTGTAAGACGCCAGCGCCAAGTTCATAGACTAAACAGCGACAAACTGTCGCGTCTCTGCCCCAAGAAAAAGCTCACCGAGAGAGGAGAGCCAAGTCGCTCAGTGCTTGTACACTGCAAGAAAATACGGGAAAGAAGTTGATATGTCTTATTAGTGGCTTATTAGTGACTAAGCATACTGGCTTGGAAGTATTTTACCTTACAGTCCCAAAGCCCAAGCCATATTGAGTTTGTAAAAGTTATCTTTGTGGCGTAACCAGTTGTGAAAAAAACCTTTGTAGTATTTTTATATTTTAATAAAAAATGTCTATCTGAATTTATATATTTACTAACATTACATATTCGCCTTAAACTATTTATATTTGAATTTATGCATGTTATTTTTAAAATCGCATTGTCATTTTCAACTATATCAAAAAAAAAAAATTGTAACGAGATTTGGAAGAACAATTTTTTTCAATCTCCTCCAAATCACAGGGTTACTTAAAAAATAGTTTATTTTCAATTATACCTTAAAAGCTTTAGTTGGGATTTATTAAGAGCACCTGTTCTGTTGGCCTTTTGGGCCAATTATGGTTTGCCGTTCCTTAAAAACCTAGCTTATTGCTTAGAGTCGGATTGAACGTACTCTTTGCTCTGTATAAATAAAATTCTTCTTATGTTATGGGATGTCCTTGGTCAGTAAAGACCGAAAGAGTGAATTGAAATCTCTAGAGATTTCAGACACTGTTGTTTCACTAAAATGTAGATTATATTTTCCTCGTAAATTTAGTTTTTGTTTTGTGGATTTTCGGCCAGTGTACTTGGTGAGCATGAACTCGTCGAGGGTTTCCCGGCCGGAAACCTTAGTCAAGGTCTCGTCAGCTTTTCAACGCAGGTTGTTGCTGCCCTCTCGCTCGCTCCCGCTGCCGCTCGGCGTTTCGCCGTCCCTCTCACTCCGGAGTCGGAGCGGAATAAGCTTTTATTTTGGGCAGCGGGAGCGGCAGCTTCGGGCAGCTTTCGGGCAGCTGATTCGCCGCTCGCTGGTCTGGTCTGGCTGATTAGTTTAGTTTGTGATTTCAATATATGTAATTAATTTTTGTTTCTGTAGCGGTTCGGACGGACGCGTCGCGACGTTCGCTTGGCCCGCCGTTCGGTTCGGTTCGCTTGCTTCGCCTGCCGTCGCTGTTTCTTATTTATTATTATTTTTTTATTTTTATTTGAGTTTCTGGCTGTGTACGTGTGAGCACGAATGCCAGTGCCACCAATGCGAGTGCGAGTGCGAGCGGTTTCCTTCTCTTGCTCTTGCCTTTTTCGTGGGCCGCTGCTAAAATGCAAAGAACACGCTCGAGAAACGTAAATGGCGCCGCGCTAACGAATGGAATTGGAATATCAAACAGTGCCCCCCAAAGTCCCATATAAAAAAAAATAAAAACAACGTATAATAATACAAGTAAGAAGCAACAACAAAAAGCAACAAACAATATTCGTGTTGCCCCCTGCCCCTTTTTTTTCGGGTGTATGTTGTGTGTAGTGCCAGTGTTTGTGCTCATGTGTAAAACGAAAAAAAAAAATAATAAAGAATTGAAACAACCAAACAAACAACGCGGTCGAGAAATATTATAAAAGAAGGTAGATGCCACTGACCTTAATGAAATCATACAAAATAGTATTCATCTTTGGGCCTTTTTTTTTTTGAAATTTTTTGGTCATGAATGTTGGTGTTGGTGTATTGTTGAACTTGTTGGTGTATCAAGTACTCTATGTTGGGTAAACAAATTGTACGGATGCTGGAGCTGCATTTTTTTTTAAGCCAATGTAAGGGTGTTCAAACACTGATGTTGGTTAATTGTTGAACTAGTACTTGGTGTTTATTCGTTGGTGCTTTTGAGAACTTTAAGTACTTCCGTTGCAACTAGATCACTAAATTCGGTGTACAGTTGTTGGTTTTATGTTGGGCTGATGACAATGTTTTTGCATTGTTTTGCAAAGTTAACTCTTTAAAATGTTGGTAAATTGTTGTACTAGTATTTGGGGTTTCTCGTTGGTGCATTTGAGAACTTTAAGTACTTCTATTGCAATTAGATCACCAAATTTGGTTTTATGTTGCCAGTATTCTGGTTTTGTTGTGCTGATGTTGATGTTCTCTTGTTAGTGGATTGTTGAACGCAAGTTGGTATATATGTATATGGTGTACCGAGCCCTTATCTCATTGTGCTGAAATCAGCGGCGCGTGCGCGCATTTTTGCGCGATCGAAACCCGAGACACTTCATTTTTTGTTGACTTGGGAAAAGTTTCGATTTACAAAAAACATTCCCACTGTCTGTGTTTGTCATCTTCCGAAAATCTGCTTAGCCAACATTAACACTCGCCCAGCCACACACATACACACACACACACACACACCTACTCTAAAAGCCAGCACACAGTCAGAGCGACACAATCAATGAGGCAAGACAAAAAAAATTAACATATTAATGAATTTCCAGTTTCTTTTTTCGGTTTATTTAATTTTGTATCAAACAAAAAACAAGCCAGAACGCAAGAGTCGATTCTATCGACCTTAAAATACCCACAGAACGAAAAGGGGAAAATATAGATATTGTGATATTGGCAGGGAGCTCAGTGATTAACGTATCGCCTAAGCAAATTCCAGATCGGCGGCTTAATGGGTGAGCCGAGATCAACGGATTCCGATGAACATTCATGGATGTTATATGGCGGGGGCACTTTATGATGGGGCCTTAGCCTCCCTTGAACTGTCCGGCATTAAGCACAAAATTCGAGTTAGAATTAAGCTTTGGATGATAATACCACTAAAAAGTAATTACAAATGGACCAGCATAACATCAGACATTTTTTGGGCACAATTTTTCAATGATTTACCAGTTCCGAGTTCCGATCAATAAAAATGTTTTTTTGGTTTTTTCTTTTCCATTTTTTTTTTTTTATTTTTGCGGCCGTGTTGCTGTTGCTGCTCTCAAGGTTTTCTTTGCTGTTGCCGATGATGATGTTTTTTTTGTGTGCGCCTTTTTTTTATTATTTTCGGTGTTACTTCGCCTATAGTTTTTTCGTTTTTCGTTTTTGTTATTGTTTTTTTTTATGTTCGATAATTAATTTCTACGTCGCAAACTAATGTTGGCATTTCAATTGCGACGAAAGAGGTGAATATTTCAATGTTGTGTACTATAAAAAAAAGCTAATAATTTAACAATCTCTGAGCAATTTTAAATTAATATTAAATACATAGGTGTTCGCAAAATATTTTTGTTAAATATAAAAAATATATTTATAATACATAATTCTATTTATGTGTAAGTTTGCCGATTGTTTTTTGTTTTTTAGGGTTAATTGTTTTACCATTTTTTTGTCTTTCAATTTTTTTATGAGTTTGTATATGTAAACATTTTTTCTATTATTTGTTGTGCTTGTCGCCTTCAGGAAATTTTTTGCTGACGTCGCGTCTAAGAGCGGTCGTTCAGCTGAGCGCTGAGCGTTGAGCGGGCCAAGCGGTACGGTAGCGGTAGAAAGCAGCACAGAGAGAGAACCAAAAGCTCGCTACGGAAATTTTTTTTTTTATGCGGGGGGCACGAAAAAGAGAGGTGCTAAGCTGCGGGAAAAGGAAAGCCGAACTTGTACTAGAAGCGGACCTAAGCAGCGGCAATTGATAACCCAACCTAGACAATAAAAATGACCGCAAATTGCTGGCGACCCCGAAAAATGACGTCTGCTCCTTGGGTAGCTGAAAAAATTAAATTAAATATTAAATTTCGCAATTTCAAATGTCATATTTTTTGACAAATCAAACCTAATTATACGAAGGTTGGTTCAGGGAAACGAAATTTGATATGTCTGGTACAATGCAAAAAATGCTCCTTAAAATTGAAAAGCAAGCTACTTCACGGCTAAGACCATAATAAGCATCTAACAAGTATCTTCTACAACCTTAAAAAGAAACATAAAAAAAAATAAATATAAGAAGAAAAGTACATCTAACATCTAAAATGAACAGCACTATTTTTGTTGTATTCTTAAATTGATATTTTCGATTGCTAATACCAAATTGGATACATTCTGCAAGAGCATTAATAATTTTTAAAATCCCTTAACTCACACAATAGAAAATATACAAATTTGTAATATTTTTATTATAGAATTTTAAATGAAAATACATTGAAACGATCCGTCCATAAATTAAGGGCAATCAAATCGAACCGCCAAGAATGTGGACTGCCAAAACACAAGTTTATCGATAAACCGAATCTTAATTGGTGGCGAATTTAGCATGCCTGATTGGATCGCATACAGCTGAGATAGCTTGACGCCATCTTAGGCTGCTATGCTAATTAAATCAATTCCGCTTAGATCAGTTTCGCTTACTGCGGTTCACATGGCGTATACGCAATGTTTAAGAATCAACATTACGCATACGCCCAGTTGCTATGTTTGAAGAAAAGGTTCACCCCCATAGCACACTATTATTGTTAACGTTACTATTAGTAATATTTAAATTGATTACTTAACTTATACGATGTTTCAAGATAACCTTTCAATAATATACCGAAACTATACACTATATTATCTTCCCATCCTGAAAGTTTTTATAGGTCAAACTAGTTTTATTTCGTATAGAGATTAGAAATACACACACAAACAGCACTATAGCTCTTTATTTATTGAGGCAGACAGTGAGAATCGCATTTTATGTTTACCCTATTTTATTTGTTTTTCTTTTTAAACCAGTGACTAAATTTTAATAGCACTATACATATGAGTGGTTATTACTTTAACGTTTTCATATTAATGTTTTTGCTGTTTTGCTTCCTTATAGTCTTAGAATGATGTAAGTAAACAAATACAAACAAATAATAAAATAAAACTGATATGGTTTATAGTGTTCTAATAGGAGTAGTTCCTCCGTAGTCTAAGATTACATTACCCATGTTATGGAATGTTATGCAAAGTGCACTCGAGAATCTCTGTAGAACGTGCTCCAACGGCCACGTTCTTCCCGCTCCGATTCTTCCCCCTCCCTCCCCTATCTTTCCCTCTCAGCCTTCACCCGTTCTTCAGCTGCTCTCTCTTTCTTTCTTTCTCTCTTTCATCTCGAGTGCTGAGCTATTTTTGGTTTTTGCGACAACTTTATGCCAGCCACCACCTGATGTGCTTTGGGCCAGGTCGAAACGACGGCGGCAGCGGCTGAGACAAGCCCAGTGGACGGGAAAGAGAGACAGCTACATGGTGGGAAAGTGGGAAAGAGAGTGATTTTTCTGACCCTCTTTAGACAATTTTAAGCCGAATCTAGCCAGCTGAAAAAGGCAATTCATATTTTGTACCATAAAACCGTACAAATATAATTAAGTTTCAATTATTTAATAATTAAAATGCAAAATATTTATATATTAACAAACATTTGTGTGCTATTGGTTAGTTGATTCTAAAGAAATCATCGTCATAAGAATAAAATACAAGAAATTAGTTTTGTCTTAGTCTCAGAAAATAGCGCAAAATTTTCCAAACTATTCTTATCGCTTACATCTGGCTAACATATTGCATTCTTATCTCACATAAATATGTTCCCGACTAAAAATACGGGAGTTAAACTTTCATAAATTAAGAATATTTCATAATTTACAATATTAAGAGTTTAAGAACCTATCAAAATTGTAATTTAATTTATAAAAAATATAATATTTTCATTGTAATGACTTCTTCCTGGGAAATATAACTTCAAAAAAATAATCGTAAAGGGGATTTTTAGAACACAAACAAAAGTTCAGAGTAATAATAGAACAAATCAAGGGGAAAATAGATAGAAACTAGAAAAAAAAGCTGGAAGCAACTCACGTTAACATATTAAAATGTGTTGAATTTCTGTGGTTTTTAAACCGACTGGAAAGGTACTTTGTATTTTGTGTAACCGCATACCCTAGAGGTAGTGTCAAGTTCAAGTTAATATTTACAAGCATAATCCGACATCAGAAAAATATTTATATATATATATATATTATTGAAATGATAAGGCAATGAAAATATGTCCCTCATTCAATGCAGTTCATTCATAATCATATTAAGAATGTGCCCGACATCAAAGGGGCTGCCAGGGCATATCGTAAATACCATAAGTCATTCCTCACTTAGAAATTCGCCCACCACTGGCAAAATGATCCTCTCTAATGATCTATTAGCAGGCATTTTTTCCTTTTCTTTTTTATGTTGCTCTATTTATAAATGATTTCCATACAATGGCGCGCAGCGAGACGTATACGTAATATTGCGTATACACCCCGCGGTTCAAAACCAATCTAACGCGGTCTGTTCGATGTAACTTTAACTATTACAAGTGTAAACAAACCGAAAGTTTGATGAAAGGGGGCGATGGTGGGAAGGTGGGACGGTGGGCTGTGGGCGGGGTGGGGCGGTGTCAGGGGGCGGTAGACCAAACGTCAAAGCAAATTATATAATTTATTTATTTTGTTACCGCTCGCCGGCTCTCTTTCAGTGTGTCGTTTGCCTTAGGCTCTCTCGCGTTTTATTCTTCTGATTATCGTTCGTTGTCGTTGTTGTCTGGCAAATAGCTTGTCGCCTTTTGCCCGCCCATTTCTGCTGTTCTCGTTTTTTTGTTATATTTCGTCTTTATTTTGACGGAGCACTTGAATTTATTTTTGTTTTACTTTTTTGCCTCAACGTCGCGTCGCGTTGCGTCGCGTCGCTGAAATGCAAATAAAAAGCGACTTGCAAAAAATAAAAAGCGGTGAGCAGAAAAGGTTTTTATATTACATTCTTAATTTTTTTGTTATTTTTGTTATTTATGTGTGTGCCTTGAGCTTTTTTGCAATTACGACCCGCTGGTAGGTGATTGACCCAGACCCCCAGACTCGGACCCCAGATCCAGATCCAAATCCAGATCCAGACCCAGACCCAGACCCATAACCAGATACATTTACAGATACCGCTTTAAAACCGGAGCCACTGCAGCTAAATGGTGGGTGGTTCGTTGGGCGGTGCGTGTGTACGTGTGACAAGAAACTCAGTAAAATGTTCGCAAAGATTTTCTGCGTGCCTGCGATGTCCCTGAATACCAAGACAAATAAACGAGAAATCAAGAGAAAGTGGAGACCACGTAAGGAAAATTACAGAAATTAACCACAAAAAGGGTGTAAAACAAAGAACAACAAACAAAAAATATAAATAAAGAATTCAAATTTTAAATTTGCGTTTGTGCAGGCTGTTTAGTCGAATTGTATGAATTTTTGAAACAAAATATTTAGACTTAACTTTTTCTCTAATTTTTAAAAATACATATTCAAGACTTATGAAATGGATAAATAAATCATTTGTTATTTTCAGATACAAAAGTTCATGAATTATATACTTAAAAATGCTTTCGTTATTAAACTATTGTATAAAAAAATGGTGTTACAATATCTTCAAAGTCTCGTCTCCACTGTGTTTACTGTAGCTCACCTACACGCACGCAAGGACCTTCTTCTGAGTGTGTGTGTGTGTGCGTGTGCACACGCCCACCTACGTAAAACGCCCCCCGCAGAGCAGGAGGAATCCTAATGCCTCAAGATTCCGTTGTCCTTGCTCCACACAAACACACAGACACACAGACAATTTCGTCGCAGTATTTGCCCGTCTGTGTGAGCTTTTGTGCAAAAGTGGGGACACTCGCAAAGAAGTTTATCTTCTTATACGTATATTTGATTTAGACTTCCAGGCAACACTTGAGTTGAATGCGCACAAATAAATATATTGTATACATACTGTTTGGGAGGAATCAGAATAGACCTAAATATGAAAGGTAGGGATGTAAACTGGCCAAGATTTCATTTAAAGGATTTTTAGATTAGAGCAAATGGGGAAAAGTGAATTAATAATTCAAAAGGATTTTTCTGGTCTATCACAAAGTATAAACCAAAAGCGACTTAAAAATAGTTTTATATACTTTATACACTTTTCATTGAGTGAATCAATGTATCAAGTAAAAATGTTAACAAAAAAATGGTTTACTTAAAAACCGATAAATAATTATCTTAGTCTTTTTGAAATTTATTAAAAACAAAAAAAAATATTTTTTTTAGTTTACAATTTTGTTTACAAACTATAGCTTAAGCTAGGAAAAATAAATGAAACAAAAACAATTAATCAGCCAGCTTTGATGGGTTTTGATTACGAATTCAGCAAAAAATAAGTCAAGTAAAATATCAGCAATGTTGGTTCAACTCGGGTTCAATAATTCCCTTAATTTGCAACTCACAAATCCACCCTGGTGGTGCTAACTTTTGGGTCGGCTTTAACCGGTTTACATTTTCACAAAAAAGCCACAAAGCCAACGAGATAACAAAAAGTTAAAAACAAAACAAAAAAAAATTAAGAAGCATTTAGCGGCAGCTGCAGAGCAACAAAGCAACAGGTGACGGCACAGAACCGATCAACAATAATATTAACATTTTTTGTGTCCGTTCACCAGCAGTGGGAAATAAAAATTCAAATATATAAATTAAAGTATTCATTTAATTAGCAAACAACAGCCGCAAATAGCGGCCTCAGCAAAAACAATATTACATTCAGAATCGAGCTATAAAAACGTGAAGAACAAAGTTAAATGGGAAGGCGAAACGAAGTTTTCAATACGCTTTATGGTATTTACAAAATATTTTAATTTAAATACCCTTGAATAAAACAAAAAAAAAAATGATCAATAAAATTTAGCTAAACACATTCTTATCAAATGCTTAAGCTAATGTATTTAAATGTTTTGTTTTAAGAATATTCATCATAAAAAGAGGTTTTTTCATAGCGCTTCATTTTCTTTTTCATTCTTTCAGCAACTACAAATGAACACTTGCTGGAAGCTGAATGACAAAACAGCAACACAAATTAAAGCTACAACCACAAAGTGAAACAAAAACAACAAAATACCTCCAGCTGTACAAATATTGATTGATATCAACAACTAAAGAGAAATAAATACACAAATATGTATATACCAAAATAATCAGGAAAAAAAAACAAGAAGCAGTCGGAAAGGAAACTAAAGAGAATGTAACCTAAGCTTGAATTCCCAAAACCCGTCCACTTAAAAAAATACGAAAAGTGTGTTGAAAAATATGTTTGAAAAAATACTAAAGAAAAAGACGCTTCAAAGCGAGAGTATGACTATTAAAATACCGAAAAAATACCAAGTGAACTGAATTAACGCAAAAAAAAAATATTGTAATATTGTTATTTACTGTTATTTTTTCTCGCGTTTTTTTCTGCAAAGTAAAGTACAAAGAACCACAAAGAAAAATAACGACAAATAAAGGCAAAGATAACAAAGCAAATTGCAACTGCAGGACAGCAAGAACACCAACGAAGCAAAACAAAGTAATACAAAATAAATAATTCGCCAATACCAGCACCCAGTAGACAGAGCGAGACGGGAAGAGAAATAAACAAACCGCTCAGAAGAGTGCGAGTGAGAGGAGGTTCCAGTGATTTAGCAAAGAAAAAGTGAGAGAGAGTGCGAGCAAGAGAGAGAGAGAGAGAGAGAGAGAAACGAAGAGGGAGCGCGCGAAAAGCTTCATGCAGAAAAACAAGAAACAGCGCAAAACATGTAAGTGAAATTGATTTTTCTCTTGCCTTTTGCCCTCTCCTTTTATTCGATTGTTATTATTGTTGTTATTGTTATGGCCAGCATTAGACGTAAATATTTAATTTCATGATTTATGGGGTCCAGAGAAAGCTTACGGCATTACGCTGCTGCAATCACGCAGGTGGCAACCCTAAAAAAGTTGTGATAATCTATATTTTATGTCTGCAGACCAAACGCATAAACAAAAATACTGTATTTTAAGCCAATCATGATAATCGTATATATACATACATATTTAGTTCAAAAAATCATTGGCAGATAAAACACACAAATTTAGCTGAGAAATTTCATGACCTAATATTAATATTAAGTCAAAGGTGAATTTGCCCTCATTAAAAACAATAAAAACAAATTTTTGCTTTATAATTTATTATTTTTTATTTATCTTGGTTTTTAAGATTTTGTAAATTTGTCAACGTATTTTTTAGCACAAAACCTTAATATTAAGAACTCGTTTTTAACGATTTATCTTATAGATATATTAAAAGTAGCTTAATAAAATTTCTGTAGATAGAAAAAATATATGTGCAGCAGTCCTTCACACAGTTACATATTTTTAAGGTTTTAATCTAATCTAGGTAATCCGATTTGTAGAAAAATACCACCTAAAGGGTTTAACCTTGCCAGCTCACTTGTTACTGCAATCGCCTGCACTATTATTATTGAGTGAATAATAGTTTACCATCGTTATTATCTGTTAAAATAAAGTCATTCCTCAAGTGAGTCACACAAACAATGCAACATTGTTGAATTACAAATGTGTACAGTGGGCATTACAAAATTTACTACATGATAAGAACTCTTGATGGTTGTCTATACTGGGTACCTACGTAACACCTTCCTGATGCCATAAAAACCATATAAAAACAATTGTAGGCTTAAGAACTATAACTATTTAAAAAGAATTACTAATACATATTAGAAATTTGTAGAAGTAAAATCAAAAATATTGAATGTAAGTAAGCTCAACTATATATCACAAAAAAAAGGTAAAAAAAAAAGTTAATACTATTAAGTAGATATCACATTCTCCACTGAAGAAGTAATTGTCAAAACTTGACCTCAACACTCGGGGTCTAATCAGTAATACTCGTAACGCCAACATTTACCATTCAACAACGCCAACACCAACACCAACGATTTCAACAACAATTAGTGGGTGTCTGGCCATGGTCATGGAACTTGTTGGTAGAAAAGCAATCGAGAAGAGCAAACAAGCGACGGTCGGCGGCTTATCAAAAGCAATATTCATGTTGAATATCTGTACGAAGATTATAATTGCCCTACACTCACACACACAGCACACTGGGCCAAATGAACCCGATTAAATATAAAATTATATGGCTACTCGAGGGCCTAATGGAGTTGAACTCGAGAAGTTCCCCGCCCCATTGAAATTGGGATTCCCATGAGGCTTTTGAGAACTTTATCGATTTGTAGGCAATTGATTTGAAGGTGTGTCGTGTGCCCAAATGGTTTATGAATTTAAGAGCGATATGCGTATTTGGAAACCATATTTTTTGGCAAGACAACTAGCCCCAAATCAGGGGCTTTTGTTTAAAGCCATTCCCATCTATGAATACACTTTTAAATACCATAAATCAAGTTAGAAATAGCCAATTAGCGAGTAACTCTTATCTTGACATTTTTATTCTACAATTACTTTAATGATAGGGCTTTGAAAATGATAATAATCAAATAAATAATACAACGAAGTACAAAATTGAAACTATGCGGACAATTGCACTAAAAATGTACCATGTAACTTTTTTTTTTTTGCATTTTTAAAACTTCTAATTAATATATAAAATAATAATAACACATAGTAGGGCGTATAAGTCAAATAAGTCAAAGTTAATATAACGTTGCGTATACGCCCCGTTTGACCAACATTTTAAAATATTAAAATAGTTAGGGCAAATTATAGGTCTTATTAATCTTATAAATAAATGCATCGATAGAAATGTCATATTCCCCATTTTTTTTTGTTCGCCTCCCACTTGTCATGTTTCCATCGCGTTGCGTATACGCCCCATTGCACCGACAGTCGGCCATGCAAAGTGGCAGCTGCCCGCTGCGACATCATCGCTGTCTGACGATTTGGCAGCAATTGACATTTCAACCACCCAACCCCTCCGGTTGTCTTTGTGGCCCTTGTTTACCCGCCACTCGAAAACAATTACAAAACAAATTTGGAAAGGCGGAAAATGTGCAACAGCAAAATAAACTAATAAAGAGAAGTAGCGCAAATATTACGCCAAATGTCGATGATAACAGCTGAAAAAAGAAATGCCTGGATTGCATATTACTTAGTTGTCGAGTGGCTGTCGACTTCCTTGTTGATTATAATCTGATTTTGTAGTTTTATCATTTTTGTTTTTTCTTTTCGTGTTCCACGGCTATTTTTGCTAGTCCAAGGGCTTTGAAAGTCAGCGTAGTAAGGTAAACTGAATTAAATACTTGTAATGCAAGAATTAAAATCGTATCAGTATTCATAAAATCCATTTCACCGCCAATTTCTTGGTTTTTGTCATATTTCTTGGAATATCTATATTTACCACGAACATATTAGTAAAATGAATTAAGAGATTATCATTTTTTTTTTTTAGAAACTATAATCAATGCATTAAGAAAACAATTTTATTACTCATAAAATGAGAAAAGAAGCTTAATTGACTTAAAATAATAAATACCTATATTAAACTAAATTCCAAGTGGGTTGTTGAAGGACTGACCACTTTCTCCCACGGCAATGAAAGTTCCTATTAATATATATAAAGAGCTTCAATTGCCTACAAGGGAAACAAATAAGCAGGCAGCTCGAGGGCAAAAAAATTCAGGGCAAATTTATGACTAGAATTCCCCGCAATCCCCTCAATCGCCAAAGGCGTTTGTCATGTGAATTAGAGGCAAGAAAGAAATATATATGTGTGTGTTTGCCAAAGGAAACGGAGGGAGTAAATATAGTTCAAAGATCTGCCCTGAATAGATTCATATATTTGTGTGTGATCCGAGCAGGTCCATGGGTGTATATACAGTAGGTATTATTTATAGGCAGCACTTGGACAAGATTCGCATATAAATAACGTCGAATATCTTCGGTCTGTTCTTTGACTTCTGCTTTTGTCATTCAACCGAAAAAACCCCCCCTCCCCACCAACACCCCCTCTCCCCCGCCCATGACTCACAATCGTTTATGGCTTTGAGCGTTTTACGAGTTCGATCATAAAAAATCCCAGGATCGTCGAGTCCAATTGCGCCCGTTTCTTGTTCACTATTTGATTCTATTTTTAATTTCTCAAACTACTCGTTCAACAAAATAATAATTTGAGAACCGGCATAGGCAAATGGAGCACACAAAAGGCTTTCCTTTCATGTGCACAGCGAGAAACTGCTGTAGTAAATCAATTTAAATAAATATAAAATTAATAAAGTAAACTTTTTCACATATTAGGGAAATTAATTTCCATTAATATATTTGAATCTTTTGTATTTTATATGTCCTATGCTTTTATTTTATAATCTTTGACAATTTAAATTAATTAATTTGACAAATATAAATTATTTCTCATTATCATCATCATTAATAATGAAAATCAACCATTATTTAGCTACTATTTGCCTTTAAATTTAACAAAAAAATTTATTACCTATTTGTTAATTAACTTAAAGATATGAAATTACAGAAATTACTTTTAAAAAGGAGATAAAATTACATTAATAAACTCAACAGCTCAACTCAACATGTTTTTATTATTTGTTATGTATAATTTTTCAATTAAATATTATAAAATTTGCAGTGTATATTCGAAATCGAATAAGTTTTACTTAGATATTGTAATCATAAGCCATGTTGAATATATCAATGAGATTGTTACCTGACCCAACACAAGTATCTAAAAAAATGATTTAAGCTTGGATTAGGTTATTTTTCATGCTCATTTGGAAAATATTTGTTCTCGCAGTGCAGTGGCCATGTAATGGGAAAATAATCTATTGGGCAACTACAAGTTGGGGGGCTCCTTATCAGCTGTCAATGATGCAATGATCTCCTCAGCCGATCCAATCACTCACAATTCCCGACCTCCTCTCTTTGTACACTTCCAGCTGAAGAACATGGAGGGTGCGAGTCGCAGCAGGAACTCCTCCACGAGTCAGAGTCAAGGTCATGGGCAAGGTCAGGCTCAAGGTCAAGGTCGTCGCAGCCAGATGCAGGACATTGAGGACCTCAAGCAAGACATTCCCTACTTCGACGATCCGCCGGCGATCGGTGGCGATCTGCTCGTGCTGGGCAAAAATGAATGCCAATTGGACGATTTGACCTGGGACCCAGTTGCCGATGTGGATGCCGATGCGGATGGAGATGCTGATGCTGATGCAGATGCGGATGCGGTTATCCGGCTGGAGCCGGTGTCTCGTGCCGTCGATCTCGACCTCGAGGACAACTATCCGGATGAGAACGAGAGCTCGGTAATGGGCAGCGACTATGCGCCCAGTGGGAGTGGCAGTGGTGCGAATAGCTTCTATCAATCGCCCACGCCCTCCACCGCCGGATCCGGCTGCGATCTGATGCTCCGGCCGCCCCCCAGTTCGGTGTACCACTTCAATTACCGATCGCCGGGCAGTCCGCTGCCCGTTGCGATGCCAGGTGGCGGAGTGGCTGGATCGGGGGCAAACAGTTCCGGACGCCTGCATCCGTATGCACATTCCCCGGTCCATGGAGCAGCGCCCGGCTTCTATCCCAATATGTGGTATCCGAATGCGCCATACGGTTCGAGCGGATCCGGCGCAGGAGCCGGAACAGCCGGTGGCAGGTACATGGCCTACGGACCGGGAGGAGGAAGTGGACCAGGAGGAGGTGGCCCAGGAGGAGGTGGCCCCGGACCAGGAACGGGTGCTTACGCCGGACACTCGGCCCACCAACTACATGGGCTGCACCATCCATATTCGCAGCCACATCCGCACGCGCACCACCCGCAGCATCCGCATCATCCGCCACATCCGCACCTGCAACATCCACACGAGACCATGATGGAGATGTTCCAGCTCTCGAATAGGTGAGTTTTACCAAAGCAACATTTTTAGCACAATCAGTCGAACCATTTTTTGTTTAATTGCTTTGTTTTCCGGTTTGAAAAATACTAATCTTACATAAATGATTACCTTCTTAAGCTACCTTAAATTAGCTAAATAATTTACACAAATACCCAATCATAGATTGCAAAAAAGCCCATTAGTCTTTTTAAAATAACTTCACTTCTCTGTCATATTTTGTTGTGGCTCTGTTTAAATATTTGAAGCATTTTAGTTAATAATAAATTTTAAGGAAACCCATTATTCTTTTTAAATAACTTTGTTTTATGGTTTTCAAAATAGGTAAATACTTTAATTTTAAAGAAACCCCTTATTCTTTTCAAATAGCTTTGTTTACAAATTTGAAACATTTTTTGAAGTGAAGTGATGGAGCATACAGTTGCTTTTAGTTGAGTTTACTTATCGTTAGTTTTTATTTAAATAGAATATGTTTATAGATACAGATTTACAGTTAAAACAGCAGTTAATTGTGTTCTTTTTTTTTCTGTAAGAGCTCATTAACTCCTTAAATATTTATAATAGTTTCTATTCGTATTAATTATTTCATTGATTAGCTGATGCTGCAAAAAAATCAGCAAGCTAATATTTATATTATACTATTTCTTTCTACACATATTTCATTTTCTACATTTGTGATCCAAGATCTGGATCTTTAAGCTTATAAACGCGTATATTTGCTTTGAATTATGCAACTGGGAGAATGTGTTAGCTCAAGACGCTCACATTAAATCAGCGGATGGTGTTTGTGTGCACCACCCCCCTTGGAAAAGCGAAGATCCCACCCACCGCGTTAATGGGGGCAGCATACCGCGATGGGAGGTCGTCCAAATTGGACGTTATTCAGAATTATCACCCCCAGCCACCCATCGGGTGACCATCATCCAAGCATCCAGCTGAGTGTCTGGCCTGATTGAAGATTGCTCCTCACAATTAGGCATCATCTTGTGCCACTTGTGGCACCAACTAAGCACCCCAAACCACCGAATGCCACTTGATTGGACCGTGGGTGGTGGTGGTGGTGGTGTAGGTGGTGTTGCCTATGCTATATATTTTTATCAACATTTTCTGGATTTATTTTTGGTCACCGAGACGGGACAAAAACATTCATTCATTCATTCATTCATTCATTTGGCATTCTCGATACGGCATAATCGCCATTCTTTGGAGCTGCAGGATAGCTGCACAAGCGCACCCACATCCTTTGACCCAAAATCACCCTCAATCCCACGTACGTTACAGCCCCCCGCGAACCGCCCATTTTGATTGACGGACCATAAGCAGAACACTGAAATTAGTTTCCTTATTTACTTGGCCATATTTCAGTGTGATCGGCTCGCTTTTGCCGTTGCTGTACCGTTACTCTCGGCCTTATAATCCGATGCGTTTCGATACGTCATTAGCACCGACTTCAAGGTCGCACTGCATCCGCTGAACGATGGGAGGGGGGTGGGTGGAGGGACTTTGCTCGGGTGGTGGGTGGGTGGGTGGTTGGTGCCGGCAGTTATCGATACGATACTTTACAATGTAAGCTGCAGCAAACAAACAGCAATCGAGACAGAGACAGACTGCGGAAGCGACGGAGACGCGATCCGTACACTTGCAAAAAATAGTAAGCCTTTGTATAAATATAAAACGAAAAATAATAAGGAGCACACAAATCTAAAAAGACAAACAAAATATATATTCAATTAAGGGTGTTTCCCTGACAATAAATTATTTATTTTTTAGTAAATCAAAATCTAAATCATAATTTTTTTTTTGTTTTGTGACATTTATAAAAAAAATGAGGAATAGTTTCGAATAAGAATATTACCAAATTCCAAGCCCCTGTTTTAATACATCAAACAATTAACTTAATTATTTATCTTAAAAACTCTGTTCGAAAAAATGAAATGAAGTTTTTCCTAAATATTTGCTTGTTAAATTTCAAGTAAATCTATATAAACAATGAGATGAATTTTGGGCAGGGTGCTTATATGGTAAATCACTCATACGCAGTGTTGGCCAACAATTTATTCAGATGCAGTCTGAGCATTAATTGAATTTTGACAAGAGGTGGCATTTTTAAAAATTAATTATATTTTTTAATTATATTTATCCCACAATCAGCAAGCATTTGCTTTGATATTATGAGTGTAGTTCGGTTCTCCATTCAGCGGCGAATGCAACAAGTTGAGTAAACAAACAATCATATACACATACACATACATATACCCAGCCGGTAAATGTGTGCATATGTATATAGAAGAATTATGGTTCGAGTATGCACCAGCGAAATGGCACTTGGAATTGGCTAAAAAGTAGACAGCTCAAGTGGCAACTTGGACGGCAGTGCGGTAACAACTGCAGCGACAACAATATGACATCAAGTGCAAGGGAGCACTGCACTGCGCCAACTGAATCAAGGCCAATGATTCGCTGCATTGGCCAAAGGCAAACGATCGAACCCACATAATACCCTTGAATACACCCAGAAACAAACAAATTCCAATTTCAACTCACGATTATTTCATATTCCTTATTTCGCCATTATATTTATATTTGCCAATTTGATTCCTTCGCTACCTATAAATAGCAATTGCAAAACATCTCAAGTACTTCACGTATTTCACAATTTATACCTTAATTAAAGTTCTTCTGGCTCAATTAAGTTTTGTTTACTGCACTTTTATTCGCTTGTTAATCAAATTGTTCAATTTCAGCTATTTTTACAGTAAATGCATTAACAATGCATTAACAAGCAAAAATGCAACTAAATTCCAGTCTTTAGCATTGCCAATTTAAAACTTGCCCTTTTCAACACTTTAATGTTTCCTTCGAATTTAAAAACTACTTAAATTAATCTTTATTTCTTTTATATTTCTTTGATATCCCAAAAGATTACATTTTTTGGTTTTTACCTAAAATTTTTGTTTTATTTTGTACAATAAATTGGTGTTTTTTTAAGAATCAAGAGGAAAATATAAATTTCTTTATAATATTTTTTTCAACCAGTTGTATTGGTCTGAGTTTGTTTACTTGGCTGTTGCGCACTTTCCTTATGCATGAGATGGCCTTTTTTTTTGTTTTCCCGATTTTTCATCATTTTTTTTTCTGCTGTTTGCGTTACTTTTGCCAATGCAATTGCAATTGCAGTTGCATTTGCTCCTGCACTTCGTTTCGCACTTGCCAGTGTCTGTGTGTATTTTGCGAACTTGTTTTGCAATTGCGTTTTAAAATAAATTACATCAGTTCGAGGGGTGATGATAGGGGTTGGCAGTAGAGAGTGGGGTGTGCATTGTGGGGAGTGGAAAGTGGTATTTTTAAAAAGGGGGGGGCCGAAACAACAACATTGTGGCGGCGGACAGCGGTAGCCATTGCTAATCGAATGCAGCGATCTCACATTTCCCTATAAATTACTCATGAACGCAGCCAAAGCGGACAGTAAGGGGCACACAGGGAATAATTAGCCCCAAAATTATGCATCAAATGCCATCAATTTGCATTCATTTTTAAACTGGATATTTTCCGGAATTTTTCTACACAGCAAAACTATTTTTTGTTTGTTTCTAGGTTCTTAATAAGTTTTTGTTCGAATTTCAATTTTTTATAAATTATTGTTTTTAATATTATTTCAATGAGTTTGATACAAAAGCTACAGCGTTTAAATTTAATATTTAATTTAATATTTAAGTTTGAAAATTTAAATTAAATTTAAATATTAATTGGTGATTACAACTTTTGATTAGTAAAAAATTCCAAGCTATAATATATTTTCTTATGCTTCGATCCCCAGTAAATAATAAAAAAATATTAGAATTTTACATTTTCGGTGTGTTGACTTTTAGAGATTGCATACCCTATAACAATAACGTTCAAGACATTTGGCGCCAAAAAGAACGTGATCACCCCATCGCATTGTTCCTCCCCCAATCGCCAATCGGCAATCGCCACCCATGCAAAACTGATAGAGACGGACGGGGGATATTTTGTTGTCATAGTCTAGCCTGGGCAATATGTAATACTTTTGCGACTGCGTAACGGCCAAACAAATGCCCGGTCATGCGCCATGTATAAAATATATGGAATAGTATGTGAACAAACGGACAGAACGGACAACTTACGGACAAGCGGACAAGCGACGCCGGCGAGCTTTCGAGTGCAAGCAACATAGTCTGAAGCAGATAGCAGCTGGCTTTGTAATGGTAACATTTATAATGACCTTCCTTCCACCAAATCATCAGCACATCGTCACGCGAAACCACATTTCCGCCGGCAAGCACTACCCCAACGAACGATCGCTTATCGTTCGTCACACAGTACACAATGCAGTATCTATCTGTAAGTGTACACCGACCACTGCTCGCTGTGTATGGAATAAACGTTTATTATCGACATTAATCTGACATTTTTGTTCAGTGCACCGCCGGCAAAAGGTTCTCCAATAATAGATGCAAACTATTGCTGAGTTGTTGCCAAACTGCACTACCTGCCCCAATGCGAAATTACTTGTGCTTTTTATTAGTCGAAAGACGTATTAACATTTTTATATTTTTTAGCAAGCTGTTGCAAAAGTTCTTAGCGCTACTCTTTAGCAATATAGCACTATTTTATTTATATTTTATGATAAATATTACCCTTTAAAGAGGTTAAAATGCATTTTATTTTCACAAATACATAAACAAATTAAATATCTACTTTTAGGAACTTAGAACGTTTTAGATGCTTAGGATATATTTATATTAATTTTAATGAACTCAACTCAAAACAAATATTTTATTTTCAGCGGTCGGGAGGCACGGAATCGAGCGGAAAAGAATCGACGGGATAAGCTGAATGGATCCATCCAGGAACTATCCACGATGGTGCCGCATGTGGCAGAATCACCGCGTCGAGTGGACAAAACAGCCGTTTTGCGTTTCGCCGCCCATGCATTGCGATTAAAGCATGGTAAGAATAAGAATATACAGAAATACAAATTGGGAGTGCCACTGAAAAGATACTCGCAGGGCAATATATTTAGAAAGGTGTCTAAAAGTATGCAACAATATGTAAAAGCGCCAAAGTCCGTGGGATTCATATTGAAAGACCATTGACCATTCTTTTTCATTGCATACTTTTAGACACATTTTTAAGTCTTTTCAAAACCCAATTGATTTGTATGGCACACCCAATGGTTTTTTTGATCTGATAGTAGATACTTAATGTACAATATTTCATAAAACACTTATTGACTTTAAGAACTAATCAAGGAATAAATGATTTTAGCCTTTGGCAACAGTCTGATGCACCAGCGACCCCAAGTCACGGACACGCTGATGAGCATGCTGGACAGCTTCTTCCTTGCACTCACCTGCCACGGCCACATCCTGCTGATCTCGTCCAGCGTCGAGCAGCACCTGGGCCACTGCCAGACGGACCTCTACGGCCAGAGCATCATGCAGATCACCCATCCCGAGGACCAGAACATGCTCAAGCAGCAGCTGATCCCCACCGAGCTGGAGAACCTCTTCGACGCCCATGGCGACTCGGATGTGGAGGGTGAGCCCCGCCAGCGCAGCAAATCCGAGGAGGATTACATCGATCGCAAGCTGCGCGAGGATAGACGCAACTTTCGCGTGAGGTGGGTGCCAATCATCCAGCACATTAACTTATATATTATTTAAATCACAAAATCTGTATCTCCAGGTTGGCTCGAGCTGGTCCCCGGTCGGAGCCCACCGCCTACGAAGTGGTCAAGATCGATGGCTGCTTTCGGCGCAGCGACGAGGCTCCGCGGGGCGTACGATCCAATACCTTTAGTTCCAATCTACAGCTGATCAGAAGGACTCGCGGTCGGGATGATGCCATTCCCCTGCACACGATCAGCGGCAATGATATCGTAAGTCGATCCTAAGTTTCTTTTTGAGAGTTTTCATCTTTTATTCACTTTTTTTTATTAAAAAAAAAAAAAACGAAACCTATATCTGTTTTTTCTACACTGTCATTGTGTAAATTCACTGCACCCTTGATTCACTGCTTGGAATTAATTATTTGTTTAATTCAATTCTATTGCTGATCTTTTACTTGCATTTACTTTTTATTATAACCCTGCTTCACCTTAAAATTTAGAACTGTTTCTGTTGATCACTTCCTTGGGGTATTTTTTCATCACTTATTTTTGTTTTCCTTCCATATTTGAAAACTGAAATTTCTCGGGATGACCTAAGCTTAAAAAAATAGAAGATTGCCTTTTAAAATTTATAAGAATAAGTTCTGGATTAAAAATATACCGCATACTTTTTTTCGACACATTTAAGAGTAAAAGATATAGAGACATTTTTAGATCGCTGTGTAAATTTCAAGAGATTCAAAATTACTTTCAAATGTGTCCAAAAGAATGCTATGAAATGCTATTTTTGATCAGGAATGTCTTAAAAATTTTTAGAGATTTAAAATCGCTTAAAAATGAGTCTTCAAAAATACTATGAAAATTAGGACGTCGTTTTTTCGGTATTTAAAAGTAAATTTTTAATTTGCACATAGGTGAAAGCTCTAATATGTGTGATTCACTGCATTCACATCACTACCATATTTTAGATGACACTTTAAAACTTTGTGCTCTCTTTTAGATTCTAACAGCCCGCGCCCGAATCATCCGTCCGCCGAAGATCGCCAGTCGACTGATCGATGCCAACACGCTGGAGTACCGCACCCGCCACCTGATCGACGGCCGGATCATCGACTGCGACCAGCGGATAGGAATCGTGGCCGGTTACATGACGGAGGAGGTGCGCAATCTCAGTCCGTTCACCTTCATGCACAACGACGATGTGCGCTGGGTGATCGTGGCCCTGCGGCAGAGTAAGTTGCCATTCTATACACTGAAAAAAAAAGAGCAATAGATAAAATAAATACCTATCTATTAGTTCTAAGCTTATATATTTAACATTTAAATTATTAAAATGCATATTAAATTTCAGGATTTAATTTAAATGTATTTCAATTAAGATTACCATAAATTTTCATGAAAAATCAAAGTGAAACATATACAAATTGAATATGAAATACTTGGATTTACTACACTCAGAGAACAAAGTTCCTTGATTTTAGGAACAAATTCCTAAACAGGAAAAATGATCCAAAAAATTACCTAAGGTCATTTATATGACAGACTCAACGTTGAGGCCATGTTAAGACCATTAATCCATAAATTAATTAATTTTTTTCCCAAAATTTTGTTTCCCAATTTTCTTCTGAGTGTACATCCAAAAAAAATTCTTAAAGAATCTAAACTATTGTCACACGAATTTTAAACTATTGGGTATGCAAAATTTCTTGACCAGACGAGTTTCAAATTAATAAAGCTAAAAAAGTAAGGCCTTAGACTACAGTTTAAGACTTTTTGGTGTAGAAATTAAACTAAAAAGTATAGGAGTTATATTGTTTGGTTTTAAATTAATACTTATATTTTTTAATACTGTCTGTGATTTGTTTTTTAAGACACACTTGTTAAAACTAAACTTTTCAGTTTTGTTTTTAAATGCACTTACTTTAAGCGGTAATCTCAGTACACTGATTTCCATTTGCCATCCCCCATCTCTTGCAGTGTACGACTGCAATAGTTCGTACGGTGAGTCCACCTACCGACTGTTCACCCGCAACGGGAACATCATCTACCTGCAGTCGAAGGGCTACCTGGAGATCGACAAGGAGACGAACAAGGTGCACTCCTTCGTCTGCGTGAACACGCTGCTCAGCGAGGAGGAGGGCAAGCGGCGGGTGCAGGAGATGAAGAAAAAGTTCTCGGTGATCATCAACACGCAGATACCGCAGTCGACCGTCGATGTGCCGGCCTCGGAGCATCCGGCTCTGCTGGAGAAGGCGGTGCTGCGGCTCATCCAGAATCTGCAAAAGTCCGGGGCCGACGATGAGGGGGACGAGGAGGACGAGGTCGAGGACGAGGACGACGATGAGGAGGATGACGACGATGCGGATGATGTGGCGGGCAGCACGTCCGAGTTCGGCGATCCCCATGCCACCAATCATCCGCCGCACAGTCGTTCGCATCATCATCACCACCAGCACGGCTCCTCGGCACTTGCCTCCCATGGACAGGGTAGCTCCAAGACCCCGCCCCTGGCACTGGTCCCGCCCGAAGCCTCCTCCGTGAAGTCCTCGATCTCGAAGAGCATCAGTGTGGTGAATGTGACGGCGGCCAAGCATCTGCGCGGTGCCCACGGATCGGCGGTCAAGTCGCCCAGCTCTGTGGGCAGCTGCTCCTGCACCGAGTTCCATTCGCCCTGTGACTTCTGTCAGGGTCCACTCACGCCCGATCCCCAGGCCGTTGGGTCCACCCTAAAGCGGAGCAGCAGTGCTCTGGCGGAAAGCGAGGAGAAGGTCGCCAAGCGGCGCTTTATACCCAGCACTGGTAAGTTTGGATCCATACAAAATTCAAATCATTATAAACTGCCGGTTAAATAGTGGGTAACATTTGGTTAAATTGTAATGACTCAATGTTGGCTAATACATTTTACATAATTTAAAGAATTAATTTGGTCAACTATTGCATAGTTGACTGTCAAATGTAAATGCTCTTGACTGATGGTTAAATTATAAAATATAAATACTAAGTTCTTTTATTTATATTGTTAACTATTATACAGGTGATATACTTTTTTTAACATTTTTTTTCATTCGATCTAATTTACCAATAACTGATTCAATAAATGTTAGTAATGCTAGTTAAATAAATATTGCCTAACTGCAGGTTACCTACTGGTTATGAGAATTTCTAGCTTTCTTACATTACTTAAGCATTGATTTATATCCCCGCAGAAATCGAGCACGTACTACACACATCTCTGGACCAAATCGGTCGAAATCTGACCCAACAACTGAATGTGGCCAGAAATTTGAGGGAACAAGGGCAGCGCTACGAATTGCCTGACGCCAATCAGCGATTCGATGAGATCATGGTAAGCTAACATCACGCAAATTCAGATTACTTCTTGATTGAAATACAATATTTTATTTTCGGGAGTGCCACGTAAATCACTTTAACGTAAATCGTTTCAAATCAGCAAATAAATAAAGAGAATACAAATAGGACATTTACTCACATTCAATTGAATGGGTAATGCTAACGCTTATATTTTCGGATCCCTTTGCAGCAGGAACACCAGAAACAAAGCGAACTGTATGTGAACATCAAGAGCGAGTACGAGGTGCAGCTGCAAAATAAGGTCAGCACCCGGAAGTCCTCCGAGTCGGATCGAAATCAGGAGCAGCAGCAGCAGCAGCAGCAACAGCAGGTTCAGGATGAGGATCAGGACTAAAGAGGAAGAGATGCAGAGAGAGAGAGAGAGAGAGATCAGCTCTCGACTGAAGGGTTTCATCGATGTGATAACTACTGTCCTGGCAGCCAGCTCAAGTCGCCGAAAGGAAAGCAGAACCATAAATGGTTAACTGAAGGTTAAGCTGATGGTTAAGCCAACTGGTTGACTGCAGAACAGATACGGATCAGACATGGATATTTGGATATCCTGTAACCCCAAACTATGAGTGAGCCTGAGACAAAGATACTTTAGACGCCCCAGCCCACAAAAACACACGCACACTCTGTTTGTTCAGTTTGTTTGTGTTTAACTTCATGTTAAGAGCGGTCCTATATGAAAAGTGGAGCTGTTTCCCCTTTCGGGATTCACTTCGTGTGTATCAGCTCTGTTTAAAATAACCTTTTTCATTTCTTTTAGATAGATATTTTTTAATATTGATCCCAACTTTCCTATAAACTTTATAATGTTAAACAAACATAATGAGTAATATGTACGTCATAGATCGAAATCGAAAACGGAAACGGAAAGGGAAAAGGAAACAAACTCTGACAGTCGCACAAACCGAAGAAGAATGAGGATTAGCATAAATGGGAGGATTTAAACAATTATTAGGCTAAATCGGAATATACATTTAAAGAACTATATATAGTATATATACCTATGTACCATACGTTGTGCGTAACGCGCATAGCCCAAACTAAACGTGATAAAAGACTGTTACCAACTACATACACACACATACTACACAAATGGAAACACCCGTAAATCTATAACTAAAACATAAACTTAATATATATATATATATATATATATATGTATATATATATATATATATATATATATATATATAAAGAAAAAAGAAATATTCACACGCCCACATGCGGGCGTGGCATAGTTAAATTAAATTTACTGTACGAACACTTTTTATAGATGTTTAATGTTGTTATGCTATAAGATAAAGATAAATCCGGATGAGTTGATGGATTTTGGCCAAGCACGGTGCACTTAGAATTGCAAGTGAGCCAAGTACAATTTACACATATATATACATACTTAGATGCATATATGGTTCGATGTAAACTAATAAATCGATGTTAAACAAAAAGAAAATAAAAGTAAAAAAAAAACACACACACACAAAAACCAGAAAAAGCTTAGGCAAAAAAAATAAAAGGAACTCTGTTAAATGTTTGTTATGCATTTGTTTTTTTTTATCTAAATTAATATTAAACTAATGTATTAGTGAATAAACTTGTGTACCTACATACAAAACAATGAAAAAAACATTTATTAGTTTTTGTTTGCTGTTTTGCCAAGATGATTGACTTGAATGTGGGGCTAAGGCATCCAAATCAATTAAATACCATTAAAAACCTATAATATTGCATTAAAGTTCGAAGGATGTAAGTATTTCGAGGTGGGCATAAAAGCATGTAGATGTGTAAGACTTAATGACGATGTTGGTCGTACATTTATACTTAAAATAAAATATAAGGCTTTTAATAATTTAACAATTTCTGCTGATATAAACATAACTAATATTAAACTAACAGAATGCTTGAGGCTTGGTATGCTTAGTACATGGTAATTATTTAAAAGAAGCAAATGAATATTTAATCATTGTAACTAATTTTATTTAAATCATATTAAAACATTTTTTATTTTATTATCTTGGTAAGAAAATTAATAAAAACCTCTTTGTTAAGTTCGACTGTACATTTCTCACTTTGAAAAATGTTTTGGTGCGGAGACTTAAAGGCTGCTTGTAATTAAAACAAAAAGGCCTTTTTTTCACAGATTTTAAAAATTTTAATTTAATAATATTCCTTTAAAATAATAATGATATGTTGTGATTTTTAAAATACAACTTATAAAGATTACGGTCCCTGGATTACATATAAAAAAAAATTGTTTACAAGTATTTATTCTTAGAAAAAATAGAAATATTTGTATTTATATATTCATATATATTATAACAAAATTTGATTTCGTTAAAATTACATTAACAGAATTCTGTTAAGTCGCTGTTGCTATTTACTTTTGCAGTTGTGACTTGACTTTGTGATCCACAGGAAGTGGAGACACCCTCCACAGGTAGCGAATATATGCACCACAGCAATCGAAAAGTAAGAGATGGAAGAACGTCGATAGCAAGACCAGTTTCTTGAAAACATCAATGAATCGATGGTAGTCCACCACTACTCCAAATTGCCTGTGGTGTCGCCCCACTACCGATGCGAGTTTTTTGAAAGAAAGCCACACTGGCCACACTGTTTTTACAGCAAATTTGATTTTCTCGTCAAATAAAATAAAATGCTAATTTTAGCTAGTAAAAGCGGCAATCAAGAAAATTCGTGGAATGCAACTGGATCGGTGGCGCATTTGGATGAAGATTCGTGATTTCGATTTGGACACCAATCGCAGCAGCAGCAGTTTCCCAGTCGCGTCCGCTGCTATGTGTGTGTGTGCGTGTGCGTGCCCGTGTCCGTGCATGTGCCTGTGTGTGTGAGAGTGAGATCGGGAAGAAGTTGTTGTTGTTGCTGTTGCTGGAATTGCCGTTGCCATCGTCGTTTGTTGTTTGTGCATTTTCCATTGTCAAACAAAAGAGAGCGAATAAGAAAAAGAAAGAAAATAGCAAAAAAAAAAAAAAGAGAAAAAGGGCGGTAAAAGGCCAGAAATTTGGAGCACGGGAAATCCGAGTCGTCGCTGAAGATGTTCTCGAAGAAGAAAAAGAAACCGCTGATCTCGATGCCCAGCAATTTCGAGCATCGTGTGCACACGGGCTTCGACAAGCGGGAAAACAAATACGTTGGCCTGCCCCTGCAATGGGCCTCCATTGTGGGCAACAACCAGATCCTCAAGTCCTCCAATCGACCGCTGCCCCTGGTGGATCCCTCCGAGATCACGCCCACGGAGATCCTCGATCTGAAGACCATTGTGCGTCCGCATCACAACAACAACAAGGCGGACACCACCTCGCTAAATAGCAGCAGCACCATGATGATGGGCTCCTCCACCATGGGCGCCAATCCCATGGCCCCACCACCACTCGGCTCGCATCCCATGATGGGCAACACCCCGGGCGGCATGATGCTGCCCATGGAGTCGGGCGGCATAATCCTGCCCAAGACCTCGCATGTGGCCCGATCCAATTCGCTGAGGAGCTCCAGTCCGCCGCGTGTGCGCCGGGTGGCCAATGTGCCGCCATCGGTGCCGGAGGAGGAGGGTCCCCCGGCCGGAGGTAGTAGTAGTGGCACTGGCGGTGGCGGCTTTAAGCCACCCGGTGCCCATCCCTCCCTGCTCTATGCCACGCACGCCAATGGAGCAACTGGACCGCTGGCCGTGCGCACGGATCAGACCAACCTGCAGCAGTATCGCAGCAATCTGGCCCCGCCCATTCACCAGCAGCAGCAGCAGACTTCGCCGGTGGGCTCGGTGGCCAGTGGCACACGTTCCAATCACTCGCACACGAACAATGGCAACAGCGGCACCACCAGCTATCCACCCATGTATCCCACTAACCAGCAGCAGCAGCAGCAGCATCAGCAGGCCAAACAACAGGCTGGCGGAGATCAGAACCAAAACCCCTTGCATCCGCATGCCCATCCACACCAGCACCAGCACCAGCACCTGGCCAAGTCGGCCTCGAGGGCCTCCAGTTCGAGCGGCGGTGCCAGCAGTGCCGCCCAGCAGGCGGCGGCGGGAGGAGCAGGAGCCGGTGGAGCGGCAGGACAGCCCAAGCAGGAGCAACGCCTGACCCACGAGCAGTTCCGCGCTGCTCTGCAAATGGTCGTTTCCGCCGGAGATCCGCGCGAAAATCTCGATCATTTCAACAAAATAGGCGAGGGCTCCACGGGCACTGTGTGCATAGCCACAGACAAGTCCACAGGTAAGGATAAAAAGCTCAATCTTTGCCTGGCATACACATTGAACTGCCTTTCTGGTTTTGCGACAGGTCGCCAGGTGGCCGTGAAGAAGATGGACCTGCGCAAACAGCAGCGACGCGAGCTGCTCTTCAATGAGGTGGTCATCATGCGCGACTACCATCATCCCAATATCGTGGAGACATACTCCAGCTTTCTGGTCAACGATGAGCTCTGGGTGGTGATGGAATACCTCGAGGGCGGCGCCCTCACCGACATCGTCACCCATTCGCGCATGGACGAGGAGCAGATAGCCACCGTCTGCAAGCAGTGCTTGAAGGCTTTGGCCTATTTGCACTCACAGGTGCGTGACCAGCATAGCATTGCCTCGTCTCCATTCCCCCCCTCCCCCCTTCTGGGGGTCTCTTCACCATTATCGTCTGACCAAAGTGGACAAGCAATCTACTCTGGCAGCCCTGGCATGCGATTCTTTGTGCCATTGCCTCGCCATTTGTGGCGCTTTCTTCGCCCTCCGCTTTCGCATGGCTTTGGTTTCAATTTCTAAATGTTGTCACCAACAAAAGTCGTCGGCCGCACAGTGGGGCGACCGGTCGCGTTGCACGTCCAAAATGCCAAGTGAAATCGCACGTGCATGCCCTACCCCAAAGCATTTAGTTGCCAGACAGTGATTTTCGATAGCCATTTTCAGTTTAGGGAGTAGCTAGTTAGCATATTTCGTTAAAATTTGTATTTTAAATCAATCATTTTAGATTTCCTAGATCTTTTATAGTTATCTCATTTATCATACTTTTTTTATTTCATTGTTTACAAAAAAAGCCAACTTTTAGTGTTAAAATATGATAAGATAGCAAAATACTTTTTTTTAAAATGGCAAAAGATCACTTATTCAAAAGTTTATCCATCCAATTGAAATAGAAAAAAATAAATTTTTTTTTTTACAATTTCTTAAGCTAGAACCAATTGTATTTATTTTGTAGGTAAGTGGGATACACGTTCCCAAGAGCAAGTAGCAAGTTTTGGGCGTTACAGGGTTTCGCTGGTTTCTTTTGTGCATTTTTGTCCCACGTTGGCTCGTGTAATGCGATAAGTGTCTGGGAGAAAGGGCTTGGAATGGATGGGTGGGGGGTAAAACCGCAAAACTATGAAAACTTTTAACCAATTTACCTTCCTTCTCTGCCGTCTCATACGATGCTTTCAAATGCTTCCGATCTGGACGAACAGGGTGTCATACATCGCGACATCAAGTCGGACTCGATTCTGCTGGCCGCCGATGGACGGGTGAAGCTGTCGGACTTCGGATTCTGCGCCCAGGTGTCCCAGGAGCTGCCCAAGCGCAAGAGTCTGGTGGGCACGCCGTACTGGATGTCGCCGGAGGTCATATCGCGCCTGCCCTACGGTCCGGAGGTGGACATCTGGTCGCTGGGCATCATGGTCATCGAGATGGTGGACGGAGAGCCGCCCTTCTTCAACGAGCCGCCGCTGCAGGCGATGCGTCGCATTCGGGATATGCAGCCGCCGAACCTAAAGAACGCCCACAAGGTATCGCCGCGCCTGCAGTCCTTCCTCGACCGGATGCTGGTGCGGGATCCGGCGCAGCGAGCCACCGCCGCCGAGCTGTTGGCCCATCCCTTCCTGCGCCAGGCGGGACCGCCGTCGCTGCTGGTGCCGCTGATGCGCAATGCGCGACACCATCCATAGATGATGGATAAACAGCCCCACCCCCGCCCCCAAATATTCGGAGGACACCTCAACCTCGGCTGGTTGAAACGAATCCCCCGCAGACAACGGGCATCCATCTATCAAACTCTAGTATTAACATTCAGTTTCGGCAACTGTACTTAACCCTGAGAGCCCCTCGAAACATTGTAAAGTCATATAAGCCGCCAGCACACCCACATTTTAGCCACTGCACTTATACACCTTACCCACAACCACCCACTACCACCCACAACTACCCATTAGCGACCCACTAGCGAACCACTCGAAGTTCCGGAAGAGAACGCAATGTGCCTTTCACACGCCTCCAAAAATCGAGTCCAGAACCGATTGGGATCGAAATCGATATAGCATTTATCAGCCTGAAACACATTCATATATATAATATATACATATACTACTTTCTGCATTTTGCTCTCTCTTCTTGTCAATATTAGTTTGTGCGTGTGTGTTTGAATTTTTTTTTTAACAAGCCCATAAACATTGTTCGAATATATAGTATGTAGCGCTAAGAGATCATGTTAAAAATTCTATCCATATATATATATATATTTAAACACATATATTTTTTATAAAAACAAAACCTAGCCCTAAGAAAAGCGAAACAACGAAGGCGTGAATCGAAAAGAGATGGGACGAATGCGTGAGCACGGAAAGTGAAAGAGACAGAGATAGTTGGACATAATATTTTTTTAAACGTTTTGCAATTGACGCCACGTAAATGCATCTGATACATAATCGTGTGTAATGTTGTTAACTCTCCAGACAAATATACATCTATCAACACATTCCCCATTTCAAAAATATTTTAGATCTTTTAGCTTTGTTCTGTTTTTTTGATTTAACCCGTGTAATTATTAATTAATGAATAAACTTAAATGCAAAAATGTTCGATTCTGTTGTTATTACCTATTTATGGTTAAAATACATCATGATTTTTGGCTCGAAATAAAACATAACTGATATTATATTGTATTTCTGAATTGATTTAAAGCATGGATGCATTGTGTATTAATGCTTCTGCATTAATAAAAAAAACATTTTTTAAGTTGCAAGCAATTATTGCATACTTTCTGGCGATTAATTGTGGTAAATATAAAAATATTAAATATTATTACTGCAATTTGTGCACTAATGGTATGTGAAATTTTGCTTGAAAGAGTTTTGTCATTTTAAATTCTGTATTCTGGTCCCGATTTAACCCTTTTCAACTAAATTAATAAAAGCTGTTGAAGAGTATTCGATTTTGTTGTTTTTATTATTGGTTGATTGATTGATTGATTGATTGATTGGTTGATTGATGGTTGTGAAGAATACATAATTGTGCCCGTGCAAATAACCGCCTATATATTCGCGAAATATACATGCGTATTTATCCACGGACATGGTGGATGGGGCTGGCTCTGGATTGTGGGCGTAATTGTGGTTGTGGTTGTGGGTATGGGCGTGGGCGTGGTTGTGGTTGTGATTGAGTGAGTGTTGTGTGTGCGCGTGTTTTTGTTTACAACATAAAATTACAAATATATTACATACACAAAAAATCAATTGCGAACTAAGAACTAAAGGGCAGATCGGGCTGCCACATAGCTAGCCATATGATTCGATGGTGGGGGGTGGGGGAAAGGGGGGGCAGGTGTTGGGATTTGTGGCATGGACGATGAGGCATGGATCATGGGACTCATAGGTCGGAACTGGAGATTCCCGCTTAGTTGCGCTTCCGCAGAGCCAGACGACCACCGATGGGGCGCTTGGGCTTCGTCTCCTCCTTTTGCTGCTGCTCAGATTCTTCGGCGGCGGCATCCTCCAACGCCTCCACGGGCTGCGCCTTGGCGGGCTTCGACAGCTTGCGACGGCTCACTGGAAAAAACAAGACATGGGTCAGCGAATTAGTTCAATTTTCATTATCACAATTCGCAAACAAAAAAAATTACATTTCTAGGAAGTATTATATATATTATGTGTGCTTAAATTAAAACAAAAATTACTGTCTTTCAAGTTTTTATGAAGTGGACTGTTAATACATCTCAATTGATTTTTTTATTAATAATAATATTTATTGTAATTATGTTGTTTTTTATAATTATTTAATTTTAGATTTAAGGCTCGAATATGTATTTGGCACCTTAAAGTATATAATGAATGATAATGAATAATAGTAAAATGTATTATTTAACAAAAAATAATAAATAAATAATAATACTAGACAACGGAAATAAAAAAAATATGTGTTATTTAGAATTTGTTGAATTGAGGCCTAAAAGTAAATTTCCTGATTTCTAAAGCTTTTTCCCTCTCGATACATATGTTATGTTATTGCAGTTTTATACTTAAAAAATGTATATTTATAAGGCGACAAATAGTCATTTAAATAAAAGCATATCCTTTATCCTTAATAAAAGTTTAAAAAATCAAAAATGGGAAAAACTGGAAAGGGTTGAAATATCAATTATTTAAAATAAAAAAAAGAATATTAATTAGTATTTGAAAAAAATAAATCTTCAAGAATATCAACAGAGTAGATTGTATTTTTTTTAAATAAGCATAAAAAAAAAATTGATAAGGAAAAGTAAGGTAAAGTAAAATCCCGTCCCAACTTACATGCCGAATTGCCCTTGTATCCCTTGGCGGGACTGGATGCGGGGGCGGGTGCTGGTGCGGCTGCCGGCTGCTCCTCCTGCTCGCCGGAGTTCGACTCGTCGCTCTTCTTGGCCGGCTTGCTGGGACTGGGGGCCTTTTCGGCGCGGTGCTTCTTGGCGTTCGCCTGGCGGCGCTTCAGCGAGTTAAGGAAGTCATCGTTGGAGCGGAACGGCCGGATCACCGGGCCGACCTTCTTGGGCGCCTCCGTGGTGGTGGTGGTGGTGGAGCTGGCGAAGGCGGCCTCGTCGCCCTCCTCGCCATGGTCGCCATGCTCGCCGGCCTCCTCGTCGTATTCCTCGCCCTCGGCGCCAGCATCCGCTGGTGCCGGCGCCGGTGTCGTCGTGGTGGTCACCTTGGCCGCCTTGCCGACGGGACGGCGCAGGGCGGCGATCCTCTTCGCCGGCGACACGGCCGGACCACCCTCCTCCTGGGCGGACACCAGGCCGTAGCACATTACGCAGACGATGAAGAGCAGGCAGCTGTAATGTAAATCAACATTGAATAAATTTATAATATACCCAGAAGAAATTGTCCATATAAACTAAACTATTGTTACATTATTCTTAAATTGTCATCAATAAAATGAGTATTAAATTAATGCCACGAAAGTATCAGAATAAAACTTTTCTGGCTTAATGTTTAAACAGTTGTAGACTCTTCGGTGAAGAACTGAAACAAAAAAGTATGCTTTGTATACTTAAACGCTAGGACTGTCTGTAGTTTATTTTCAAGACACTTTCATTAAAATTAAGCTTTACGTTTTTTTGTTAAGATCTTAGACATATTTAATCTTTTAATTAAAATTAAACAGCATTTAATAAAAAATATGAGACATTTTTTAGTTTCTCACCTTTGCAATGAATAAAAATAATTAAAATACATAGATTTAAGGAAGGTGTATACTAAAGGCCATAGAATTGCTTAAAAGTTAAATTGATTGTCATTCTAAGGTTTTTTTTTAATTATTGAGCAGCAGAAAAAGACTGGTTTTTTATTACATTTTTAATTCGAACTTTTATGTTTTTTCTTTTATGCTTTGTTATTTAAAACAAATTAATTACAAAGCGTCTGTTTTGATGCGGATATCCCAACACTTTTATTAAAAAAGATTCTATCAAACGCCAATGCCAGCTACAAATTTATTATTAATGGCAGAGGTTTAAAACCAATGCCAAGTAACATGATAGATTTTTTGGGAGACAAATCCTTTAAACTCATGTTTAAGGATGCTTTTTTCGATTAACTGCAGTGTGGAATAAAGATAAATAATAATAATATAAATAATAATAACAATAACAATATTTACTTTTTTAGTTGGCACATAAATCAGTTTTATTTATACGATAAAAAAGTAAGCACATTCTAGTGCTTATTTCTAATAATGTTTTCAAGATATTTCTGAAACAAACTAAATATTTCACACATAGCCTGAAGATTTCCAGACATCAAAAATGGCAATACTATATACTAAATAATTTAAAGTTATTTTTTGGATTGCAAAGCAGCAAATTAACATGCAATTGCAAACGCCCCTTTTTAATACTGATAAAGAGTTCTTCGTAAATAATTTCTGGCTAATTGGCGTAAATATGCCAAATGAACGTTATTGAATCAACGTTTTATAAATTACCAGTACTGACTGAAAAAACATGAAATTTCCAGACTTTGGAATCGATTTGAAAAAAAATTACAATGTTCTCCAGACTTGAATTAAATAAATCGACACTGAATGGATACATTGGCCCGCTGTGCACTGGTTTTGGCCGGGATTCAGTAAAAGGGGGAGCTGGTGCATCCCCGGGGCAAGGTTGTCCAGCCACGCATCTAATCCTCGTGACTTCCAGCTCGAACCCAACTCTCTAACGATCTTTTTAGTCGTCTGGTTGGACGGGTTATTCAATACACAACCTGAAGTCGTAAATATTGTGTACATTAATATGTCCCCGCCTCTACAAATACAGTGGATATATTTTAAGAATAACATATAGAATTGAAACAAACTATTTGGTTATTTACCTTGACAGAAATGTACAATGATTTGTTTTAACAAATAATTTATGATTTCCATCTACTTTAATAAATTTCTATAAATTCTGCCAATGGAATTTCTAACATATATTCTTTTAATTTACAATTCTTACAAGTGCATTTTTGTAAAAAGTTTGCTAAAAAATTAAATAAATAAAGGGATTGTGTATTTGTTTGGAAAACTTTGTCAGACAATTTAATGCCAATCAGGGCACTTTTTATTGATTTTATTATAATTTTACGCTTTTTAAAATGCATAAAAAGAAATAAGGTCGCATGAGCGTTGGAATTGTATAGACGCATAATTATGTATTTAAACGGAAGCTACAGCTCATATAGATATTAAACAAAAAAACAAAAAAACAAAAAAACAGTCACCCGTTGAATGTCATTCGGTTTTCCTGTAAGATTTGTTAGTTTTTTATATCGCTCCGCTGACGGAGGACGGAGATGTGCTAACAAATATTAATGTGTAAAGGTCATGCAAACGGGTTTGTTCACTTTCGATTTCGATTTGGTTATGGATTTCGCCTTAATGTCGAATTCGAATGCGAATGAATGTTGCTCTGTTTTTTTTTGTTTTTGTTGCTCTGTTTTTTGTTTTCAGCTTTGAAGCTTAGCTTATATGGCTGTTGTTATTGTGTTGTATTTAAGTTTAAGTTAAGTTTTCTTTTTTTTTTTTTTAATTATCGCTGGCGACGGTGGCGGCTTCAGTGAGTCAATTGCTCATATTTTATGCAAAACAAAAGACTTAGGCAGCGAACTCGTTTTGAAATTCTTTCCTAGGCAACGACGTTGAAGTTGAAATGTTTTGTTGTTGGAAAGGGGGTGGGCAGGTAGACTACCAACGGGGGAACAGAGGGGGGAGGTTGAGTGGCCAAAGGAAACAGGTGCTTATGCAAAAGGCAGTCAACAACCAAGTGGGAAACCAGTTGGCAGCCAGCACCACGCCAGAATAAATTTAAGTGCGCGCTCACACTGCAGTTGGCAGTTGGCTAATAACGGTAAAATGCGCAAGCCAAGTTTTATTTTTAGCCAACACCGTTGTTCATTGTTCGTTTTTATTTTATTATTATTTTATTTGATTTATATTTTATAAATGCATTTCTCAGTGCTGCATTTT